GTACTACAGAATTGTAGATCTTTACCAAAAAAATAAAATGATCTGCATTACACAAGTTTGAAAAATCCCTGACTGAATTGATGATTGATAATCAAGAATTAAAGACATGGAAAAAGATCGTATTGAAATACAAATTGAAAATGATAAAGGTCCACCTGTAATTGATAAAAAAGATATAAAAGAATCAGCACTGTTTACAAAAAGCGCGGCAGTTAGTCAGGACGAAACATTTCTAGTTATATTTGATTGTATGTCTTCTAGTTAATATTGTTTTAATTAATAGAGTTTTACAATAATAGGTTATAGTAAAATTTTCATTTTGTTTTTAGCAATTGACGATTATTATGAAAATGTCATAATACGAATGTATAACGTCAATATCGATGAAGCGGGAAATAAAGATCTTTCTGAAACATTTGAACAATTAAAACTTACACTTAAATTTGATGGGCATGAAGAACAAAGTTGGTTGATGGCGTCAAGTTCTTTTTCAAGTTGGTCTATTGCTGTATCAAATGAGTATCGTGAAAGTTTTAGATTACTAGCTTTATCTTGCATAAGCGACGGTGATATGCAAGATCTGCCAGATTCTAAAAAAAAAAAGTAGGTGCGGTTATACCAAAGTGTGGATGATCGGAAAAGACTTCAAAGCCAAAGAATGTAATAGTGTAGAAATAAATGATGGTGGAATAATCCAGTTTATCTCTGGTGCAGGCGAATTCATCCTTATTTTGATAAAAGGAAATGGAATATATAAACATCGTTTGAGATATTCATCAGATAACATGCGATTTCAGCATAATGTTTTAGCATTAAATTATCCAGAAAGAATAATTAATGCTTTAAAATATAATTGCAGCGAAAACTTTAGTAGGTCTATGATCGTACCACCGAGTGATATTGTTCGTAATATCTTTTGGGATGCTTAAATAGGCATTACTTATTAGTAGATACATCTGGAAAAGATCCAAATAAATATATAGAACTTTACAATTTAAAAACTAATCAACTAATGAATGTATTTAAAAGACGCAAATTATTTTTACCATCCTTAGATCGTGAAAGCCTGGTGCTTTTGCGAGGTCGTCGCTCAATTCCCCGAAAGCCATTTACCCGACAGGACATTTACCCGACATCACATAGGTTAGGTTTAGCATTTAAT